TGAAATGCGGGCAAAATGACTGGACCCCAGATTGTTCTGTCAAGATCTCAGAGTATCCTATTTGTATGTGTGAAGGAAGCATTTAGTTCATAAAGTCCAGGAGATTCGGCGAGGTCTGAAAACCAAGGTGGGGAGTCCCTGCTCTCTGCACATTGAGTATGACTTAACCTCCCAGAAGAATGGGGGGTTTGTATTTCCCTCATGTTACTTTAAATCTACAACTTTTTGGAAGCCCTCGATCATCCAGCATTCTTCTGGTCGGGGAACTGACCCCTAGGTTGAGTGTTAAGGTGTTGATGTGTGCGAGTCTTGGCCAAACCGGCGTTCCGCTGAGTGGGAGCGACACACTTCCCTTTCTATTCTCTTCTGCCTTAGGATCCTGTCACCACATTGCGAAGATTAGACAAAAACTCCCTGTAGTTTATTTTCTTTTTGAATAAGTTGTATTATGGGGAGAGTTTTAAGTGAAAAGAAGAAAAGCTCCTTCTTTGTTAGAGGCAGCAGTGTGTAGTTTCAACTTGTCTTGGACTTCCTCGGAGATGTTTTAAGATCCGGTGTCAACTTGCTGTGGTTTGCCTTTGGGCATCAAACTGTTTAGCTTGGCTCTATTATATCTGTAATTGCTGCATTTTAATAATTGCCCAATATTCTTGTCAGCAATTTGCAGTCTATATTTTTAATAGAACTGTTTGCCTTTCTTTTCCACAGGTTTGCTCAGACCTGGTTTAAGCCCTTGGATTAACGAGCACAGTCCTGCAGACCCTCTGCAGCTGTGGGCAGGGGGGGACACCAGCTCATTAAACATTCCCACAGCCTCGTGCTGTATGTAGTTTATGTGTTTCATAAAAACCCTCAGGGAAGCCATCTTCTGAGATCTCTCTATAGGGTTTTGCTTTGTGAAAACTGCCTTTAGCATTTGCTGAAATAGCATTTTTTTTAAAGAGGGTTTTTCTCATCCATCCATTCAGGAAATCTAATTTTTTGAAGGTAAAAAATACGGACAAATTCTCTTTGCTGTTGTTGATTTGTTAACAAAAGAGACTTCTGCCCTGGTCAGGTAGCTCAGTTGGTTAGAGCATTGTCCCAATACACTAAGGTTGCCGGTTCGATGCCCAGTCAGGGCACATGCAAGAATCAGCCAGTGAATGCATGGAGGAGTGAAACAATAAATCATTGTTTTTCCCCACACCCCCCACTCTTCCTCCCTCCAAAAAATCAAGTAAAGCAAAAGAGACTTCCGTTTTATCTAATGTGATGTGGGGCTGTGGCTACAGAAATGTTGGACATCAAGGGGTGATTGAAGCCAATTTCATGGCCTCTAAATGATCCCTACCATTTAGTCAGTTTCTGAGACAGGACCATCCCGGCACCAGTGACTGTGCCTCAGTTTGTTCTTTTAGTGATGCCATTCTCTAGCTTATCTCCTTCTTGTGTCTGTGGAAATGTTTATTTTTCAATAAACAGAAGAGTTGAACTGGTTTTACACTAGCTAAGAATTACATAAATAACCACACCCAAATTTCTTTATTGGCATAAATACAGAGTGTGGCAAAAATAGGTTTACAGTGGTTTGTATGGAAAACAATACAATAATTAATAAATAATAACAGAAGAGTAAACTCTCTTTTACTTACTCTCAACTGTGAACCTAGTTTTGGCCCACCCTGCATACCTCAAAAAAAAGGTCAAATAGTGATGATAATAGCTAACGTTTATTGATTGCTTACTATGTGCTTGGCACTGTCCTAAGTATTAATATGTATCAGTGAGCAGTGTGTGTGTGTATGTGTGTGTTCTAAATCTTCACAATAACCCACAGGATAGGTTCATGTTTGCAGAATAGTCTGCCCAACATCACTGATTTTTGGTAGGTGGCAGAGTGGATTCAAACCTAGGCAGAATTTTAACTGCCGTCAAAATCCATATTCTATCCTAGTAGGCTTTTCATTACTATCTTATACTAAGACTGAACCACAGTGCCTCCTGCATGTATAATAATTTGGTTTTGATAGGGGAACTCAAGAGTTAAATAATTTAGCTTCAGTCATAGTCGATAGGTTTAAGCGATTCATGCGCGTGGAAAGCTGTCATTCCAGAAACTGGAATGCAGGACCTACGTGACTGCAGGAGGTCCACAAGCAATTCTGCCTCTGTGCCCTGGGGGGTCTGCAACAGATGGAGGTAGCATGTGAGTCATCGTATTCCAGGGAAGTCCATGACGTCGATGGAAAATTGTTGATCAACAGGTAAAGAAGTACTAGGAAAATCAATCCTGAACTGCAACTCTTAATCAGATTAACCTTTTTTCCAAAGCTCTTACCTACTCTATCTTCTCCTCACGGAAAGGTCAGCTTGAGCTGAGATGATAAGATGGCTTTTGAGGGAACAGAACCAGCGGTCTTCTCAGATTGCCAGCATCTGAATAAAATACTCATATAGATTCAATCCTTGTCTCTACTTATTGGTTCTTGTAGTGACAGGCATTATGAATGTCAACTTTTCCAGTTTCAGTTTCAAGGTGCATCTAAAAAATTATTTTTGAAATTAGAACTTTGTTATTATTTCTGCATAGGCAATACTTTCAAAACTCAAATGGTATAGAGCTTAAGTGGTAATTCAGTGAAAAGGCTTCTCTCCCTCCTACCACTGTCTTTCAACTCTTGCTAGATGTAGACCAGGATTAAGGTGGGTCTGCCCTGCCAACGTCTGCAAATAGGATTCTTCCATGGTATTGCAGGAAGCACATTTCGTGAGGCGTAGTGGCAAGATTTATTGGAAGGGTGCTTTTGGTGCTGCCCTAAAACCCAAGCAGCTGCCCTGCTGTGGATAGAGAACCTGCTACTGCCCACCCCTTACACCTTTGTTAAGCTTTGATTATATCTCCTTGGGTTTGGGAAGGCATAAGCTTTCTTTCAGGCTAGATCCCTTCCCTTTGTCGTGGCCCTTTTGGCTTCTGCTACACCTGCCTCGTAGTTTTGCTTCCTCATCTGGCTTCCATGGTGCATGCGCTTAATAGAAGGACTTTCCTCTGCACAATCTGGGCTTCTACTGCACATGCACCCAGCAAAGGAATTTCCCTGTTTGCTACTCTCAACCACCACTGCCCTCCACCCTCCACCCTCCCCCTTGCTCCTGCCCCACCCTGTAATCTAGGCAAATGGGCTAGTCTTTCTGGGGAGATTGTAAAGCTGGTCCTTCCTGCCTGATTGGGGATTAAGTCCCTTTGGCAGAGGATGCGGCTGTCCCCTGGGAAGTCTGTGAAGCTGTAGCTTCCAGATTTAATCTGGTTTGGCCAGTTTATCGCCCTTCTTTGTTGTTAATGCCTAACTAGCTACTTATGCTAATACAACCTCCCTGTTTCTCTCCCTCCTTCTCATAGGAAATTAGTGTTTCAGTTGAACCTCAGTTCTCAAACTTAATTTGTTTCGGAAGGCTGTTAAAGATCCATATTGTTTTTCCCATTAGATATACAGAATCAGCATGAAAGTGTTGTTGGGTCAAGAACCAAAGTTTTATTTGACAATCATGCCATTTTTTTTCCATGAACAATTTGGTCAAGAACTGAACTGTTCAAGATGGCAGATGCTCCAGAACCAAGGTTTGACTGTACTGCTTGTAGAGGCACTTTAAATATCTTTCTTTAGTGAATGCACTAAAAGAGACTTTTTAAAAGAGAATCTTTTCTTTAATTTTTTAAAGACAATTTTTTAAAAAGAGAATCTTTTCTTTAATTTTTAAAATATTTTATTTATTTATTTATTTTTAGGCAGGGGAAAGGAGGGAGAAAGAGAAACATGGATGTGTGATTGCCTCTCATGCACCCCCTACTGGCCTGCAACCCAGGCATGTGCCCCGACTGGGAATTGAACCAGCAACCCTTTCGTTTACAGGCTGCCACTCATTCCACTGAGTCAAACCAGCCAGGGCATAAGAACACTTAATTAGAAACTTATTTTGTCATTACGTTTTATATTTTTGCACTGTATCTAACAAATTCCCAAACTGACTTTCTCTGTGAAGGTAGCAAGCTGGTTCAGTAGATGGTATTTCATGGGTGAAGGTAATAATGCTACAATCCCCAGCTATTTAGATGATTCCTGGAAATGCCTTGATTTTGCCTTGCCCAGAGTTTAGATTAGGTGGGGTGTTCATGCTTTTATTCAGGTGTTGGATAACTTTTATTCTTGATGAGAAGGAATTATATCTTCAAACAATGATTGGAACACAGTAGGTGCTCAATAATTATTTGTTGGACAACTTCCGTGGGTTGTGCCAGGCTCGGGGATGGAGGACTGGAAAATATACTTTGGAGAGAACTAAATGAGGTAATCTTTTGGGCCGTAGGACGAGTATTCAGGTTAAGCAAACCACCACAAAACTTGGCATTCAAGGTTCCGGACTGGAAAATGTTAGAAAGAACCTCTGGATCTTCTAGTCCAGTAACCAGAGAGTCTCGGATGGAGCTGAGGGCTAGGGAAGACTTTTCTCCTGTTGCAGTGCTGGCAAACAGTTGAAATAAGAGCCTTGCCTTTTAATGGTCCTTTATTTTCCAAATTGATTCTAAATCTATTTTAATTTGATCCTGTGGTAACTCTGTCATTATAACATTAAATTGAGTCTCTAATCAGCTGTTTGTGGTTTTTGTTAGCACTAGGGAATTCACAAATCAGGTGCCATTGATTGCTTTAGTGCCATACTATAACTGGTGATGTTATATTATAATTGCATCTTGGATTTTTTTCTCTAGTCTTGGAAATTTTATATAAAACCAAAGATTTACAGTGTCAATAGTAAATATGACTTTGCAAAAGTATTTGCTTATAAAAACCTTTATTAAGCACTTATCACCCCCATTTCAATTTGCTCAAGTGCTGTTTTGGCATCCTTTAAGGTAAATTTATCTTACTCTCTTCTGAAGTTCTTCATTTTGCCCTAGTCTGTGTTTATGAAAAGAAGTTCCTGCATTAAGTTTTCTTCTTGAAATATGTTTATTTTTACAGACAATTTGAAAATCATAGAGGAGGATTTTAAGGCTAGACCTGATTTGCAAAGGTTGTCTGCAATCTGAAGAGCGACAGGCTGAGGTGACGGAATGTTGCACACTTCTGGAGAAATAAAAATGACTTCTCACTGTGTGATTGCCATGTGTGCTCTAATGAGTTCCTGTTTGGCCACCGCAGGTAAGTTGCATGTTTATTATATTCTTTTGGATACATTTTTCCTCAGTCTCTTCAGTTTAGGAAAATTTAGGACATGGGATGTTTATGCAAAACTCGAGAATTTGTGTTCTTCAGGGAAATGAAATATTTGAGTTCTGTACAAATACATAGTATATTTGCTTATGTCACATTTTGATAGACTAGTGCCAGACATTCTAATGACAGAGATGCAAATAAACCTTCAGTGTTGAGGTGGGTAAAGAACAAGTATGCTAATGTTTAATCCCACTTAATTTTGTTACATGCATAGATTACATTTACTTTCTTGTCCTTAATAAGAATTTCAAAAGGGCCATTTTGTTCTTTATTACAAGATAAATAGATCTTCTAGATAGAGGAGACACTTCCTAGCATAGGCTGCTTAGAAGCTGTTTGATATTATCTGCGTCTGATATGTAAATCTGTAACTTTTTAAAAAGTATGGAAATATATACGACAGATTATGAGGTCAGAGGTGGGAGGAAACAAGTGACTTGGTTGGAACATTGTTGCGTAAGTGAAGACTATGAGATCCTTTGTATCAGTGTCTCAGTGTTGGCGGTCTGGGTCACTTAACAAACCTAGAAGCTTAATTTGCTCTATTGAGTTGTACTTTGCTTTGTGTCTGTTCTCTAATGGGCACAATAAAACATTTTTGTTGGACCAGTTCTTGAAATTGGCTGGTTTCAACAAGAAACACATTGACTTGAAAAATGATTAGCCTCTTGGTTTTGGCTCTTGAATTCACACGCAGTTGAGATGCTAGTGATGGTAATTACCATTCATTGAGTGTGCACTGTAGCCAGGCACTGAGCTAACGGGCTGTAGAAAGAACCATGAAAAGGATGTTCTTATTTCATGAGCTCACTTAATCATAACTCTGAGGTAGGTGTGATTATTTTTCTCGTTTTACAGATGATGAAATGAGATACGGAGAGATCAGGTAACTTGCACAGTGTCATACAGCTGGGAAGTGGAGGAGCCAGATTTTAAATCTATGTTCTTAACCTCCGTGCTATAAGGAAGAAGCCAGGCCACCAACTGAGGCTTCAGTAGACTCAGACTAGTAGTCGTATATGTAGGCACAGATGGAGTAAAAGCCAGTTTGCAGAACTTGGTTTATGAGTTTGGGAAGCAGAATATCCCTCCTTGTTGCAACGATCTTGAGAGAAAGTTGCTAGGTTTTTGTTTTTTTTTTAATACTAGTGTGTGAATTTGAACTGCCCATTCTCTCTGTCAGCAGTTTCATTTTGTGTCATGATTGAAGAGTTATTTGCCTTTTAGCTGATCTTAAAAGTGCATTAAAACCACTCTTAATTAAGATCTCATTGAAAGGTAGTGGAGAGAGAGGGACAGAGAGAGAGTGAGAGTAAGAGAGAGAGAAGTGGCTTAATGGAAAACATGCCATTTTGATGACAAGATGTGTACTCATAACTGATGGATTTAAGGCAGAATTTTCTTTCTTTTTTTTAAAGATTTTGTTTATTTATTTTTAGAGAGAGGAGAAGAGAAGGAGAGAGGGAGAGAAACATCATCGTGTGGTTGCCTCTCACGTGCCCCCAACTGGGGACCCGGCCTGCAACCCAGGCATGTGCCCTGACTGGGAATCAAACTGGCAACCCTTTGGTTTGCACTTAATCCACTGAGCTACACCAGTCAGGGCTAAGGCAGAATTTCCTGTTCTTGTTAACACCAGGGACAGACTGAAAAACATAACTGAAGGTAGTTCATGGGAAAGCAGTGAGTTTGATGGCTCTGTACAGCCTTGATGTATTTGATAGTAAATCAGTTTTGCATAAGACCTTCCTTCCTCTTTCCAGCCATGGTAATTTTTTTTTTAGTTGTGTATGCCCTCAAAGCTTTGCTGAGGTGTACAGTAAAACTGAAGGTGTAGTAGAATTGCAGATTCTGTAACAAGTTGAGGCACCCAATCAATAGCACAGAGGTAGAGATGCTGTTTGAACAGCCGGTGAATGAAGAAGGGAGAAATGTTTTGTATGTGCTGACACAGACTTAGCATACTTTACAAAATGCTTTTTGGGACATTCTGGATGAGTCGAACTTCAAGAAGATGATAGTAATGATAACAATACTGAATATTTATAGAGTAATTAATTAATTACTGCATGCTGGGCCCTGTTCAAAGTATTACCTCACTTCATTATCATAACCGCTTTAAAACGTGCAGGTACTTTGTTTATGCCCAGTTTATAGATGAGAAGACTGAAGCACAGACAGGTTAAGTAACTTCTTCAAGGTTGCACATCTAAGCGACAGGCTTAACCATGAACCTACTTAGTCTAGGTCTGTAGACTGAGCCATTAAGTCTCTCTGCTGTGAGGAAGTATTGTTTACAAAAGTGTCTGTTTAAAAAGAAGGATAGTTGGCTTTGGTCTCTGCCATCTTGAAACATCAAGTCCTGCTAATCATAAAGCCCAGCACTCACCACTTAGGGATATACAAGGAAGAGTAAGATCCACCCCTTCCTGTGAGTCACTGATACTTTAGTTAGGCATATAAAATATAACTATGACAAAATAATCAATGTGTGGTGAGTGACCAGTAAAAGCCAGAAAACCTCAGAGGGGTCGGAAAGGGAAGCCGTCTGGGCTAGAACAGCTCGGGAGGGCTTTGTGGAAGTGCAGGTTTGAGCTCTGCTTTGCAGACGAGGCGTGATCTGAATAGGGGAGGCATTGGGTTGACCAAACGGGAAAACATGACAATCATGGTGCATGGTGCTTGCGTGCTTGGTGTTTTCTAAAGAACGGATGGCCTGGAAAACTAGTGCGGCAATGTAGCAGGAGGTCTGTTGGGAAGGAAGGGTGGGAGTAGATTGTGTAGGACCCTAGACGTCAGAAGGAGGCTTGTGGATATCACTTTGAGGTTTGGATTCTCTCTTCTTCCCTTTTCCTGTAACCAAAGGTATACATTGTTAGTCTGAGAGCTCAAACTGTGGGCTTAAAAAGTGAGGCTGAGAATATAGCCTCATCAGCTTTGGAGACAATGGTGCCTTGCGTGGAGGCTGCTGTTTAGCAAGGGCTTGGTCTCTGCCAGCTCATTTATTTTGCCTTTATAAGACAAACTGCGAGGTAGGTGTTAAGTTTTATTATCATCATCTGCATTTTACAAACAAGGAAACTGAGACTCCACTTGGAGTATAATCATTGGTATATAATAATTGGTATAAACTCCCAGAGCTGGGACTTGAACTGTGGCAGTTTGGCTCTCAAGCCCAGCCCCTCAGCCACTCCAGTGGAGCGTCTGTGTAGGAGAACTCGAGTGTGGGATGAATGCACCTCTGCATTTGATGGAGTAGCCCCAGGGCGGCATCCTGGAACCAGGTTTAAACTCCTTTTGGCCTCAGAAGAGATGTGTGTCAGTCACCAGAACCAAGGGAACCTCAAGTAATGGGCCTTCTTTGTTTGTATTCTTACTTCATTGGCATGGCCCTGAAACTCTGTAGAAGGGATGAGTGTGGCCCTAAAACGAGCCCAAGTTAGAGTAGTAGGAGGCTGCTTTTTCAGCCCCATGGGTTTGGCTGGCCTTGGGTGAAAGCCCCTTCTTTGTGTGAGGCTGAGGGTGAAGGAGGCAGGATGCAGCAATCCACATCCCAGGGTCAGTGGGTGTTTAGACAGAACTCACACTTTCCCCCCTCCCCCCCATGTTTCTGTGTTTCTTGGTGATTGTATGGCATTACAGAGAGGGAGGGCCACACCCTTGGTGAATGGGAGACTTTGTAAGGACCAACCATAGTGTCTCCTGATTAGAAATTATATTAGGTTTTTGGCAACTTATCGTATACCCTGTAATCTCTCTAAGAAAAATGGGAAGTTTAAACAATAAATGCTAGCTCTTACGGGCTTAAGGTTCACTAAGTTTTCACTTTAAAAACTGTCCTGTTGCACATCTTTAAAAAATATTAACTGCTGCCTCTGAGGCTTGCCAGGGTTAGGTAGGGCTGTGATCCCAGGAGCCTTAATAATGAGAAAAAGAGGCACACAGAATGCAGGGAAGTCGGTTTGGTTGGAAGGATGGACTTGTGTGTGCTCCACTGGCCTCGTGGGCCGGGTCAAAGGGGTGCTGCTGAGGTGCATGCTGCAGACACGCTGTCGGCCCCGAGCCGGCGGGGCGTGGATGGATGGCTGTTTCCCTCATTCCACTGTTTCCATTTGGTGCCTAGGTGCAGCCTTTTGGAGGTTTGCCCACAACCTGCACACACATGTCTACTGAGCAAGCACATTTCTTTTCCCATCTTCTGGATGTACCTGGAATTCCAGGTAGGGTCCACAGGAAAACAGAGATGTTCTTATCTAGAGCTCTTTTCCTGCTAAGAAAGCCATGAACTTTTTGTGTCCATGGGACAGCCAGCAGAGATGCCAACCGGTTCACACTTGGTTTAGAATGGGACAAGTTGACAGTTTTGGGGGGAGACTAAACTAATAATCCAGGCCTACGTCACTTTGTGGTGCTTCATAGATGTTGCGTCTTCTACGTATTGAAGGCCAGACCCCCCACCAGCAAGAAGATGAAAACTCACTTTATTGCGGCGGTCTGGAACTGAACCTGCAGCACCTCCACGGTGTGCCTGTTATATCATTTTATATTTATAGTTTTCCAAACAGTCTTATACCTAGCATTTCACTTTATTCTCATAGTAGTCCCTGGGCGAGGCAGGTATTTTTTTTTTTATTTCTGGAAAGAGAGTAATGGGACTTAGAGAGAAAGCAGTGGAGAAAGATGGCTCAACTCTCAGTCAAGCACAACTTAACAGCCTTCTGCAGACAAACCGCACCGACAAGGCTGATGGTCTTTCTGCTGCAGGGCACCCCTGGGCACCTCTTCCCACAGTGCCAGTGCCAGCCAGGCCCTCCGCTGGGCGCCTTACAGGTTCACCGAACCCTTACAGAAGCCCAGTGAGGTTGGCATTTGTCGTTACCAGTTTGTGTAGTTATTACCACTGCCACCACTCCTACTACTTTTAT